CCCAGCCTACTACCAGCCTGGACTGGCAGCAGGGTGACCCAGCAGCCGATCGGTCCAAAAGAAGACGCCGAGAGTGTCGAGGGCAAGGCCAGCCTCGGCGAGCGCGCTGCTGGACTGCAGGGCGCCACTGGAGCACAGCAGGCCAGTGAAGCACGGCCAGTGAAGCACAAGCGGAAACCAGCTGGCACAGACAGCAACAGCGACACCGCGTCGCCTCTCCTCGAACCGCGGGGCGGTGGCCATCGCGGAGACAAGGGTCAACCCAGCACCCCTCAGCGGCACGGCCCCCAGGCCGAAGGGAAGGGTGTTGCGTTGGGTGAAGGAGCGGCCGACGAGGGTGAAAGCCCCGCCCGCCTGCCCAGGGCAGCCCGATAGATGTCCAGGCACAGCAGGAAGCCGACACCGTGGAGGACGAGCTAGACCCATGACGTGGACGCATATGATGTTCAGAGCGGCTCGTTGCTCTTTGGGGTGCCGAGACGCCATCGACTTGCGAAGCCGCCTTCGGATGTTCGACGGCATGTAGGACGCTGGTTTAGCTTCACCAATGCGCGCCCAAGCAAACTCACTTTACAACGCCTTGGAGTGTCCAGCGTTCGACCACGAAACGCATTTCACAGAGGATATCAGCCCGGGTACGCCTCAATCGATGCCCATCGTGTGCAATGACCTCGTCAACTTGCCACTACTATGCGACTCTGTCGATCATGGGCGGTCCAGCAGGCACACCTTACCCCTCATCGCGGTCGATCGCCTCCAGCGCAGCCGCAGCCGCCTCAGAGGCCACGCAGTTCGTCACCCTGCACCTCATGATGTGCGCCTCCGCCCTGAAGCCATCACTTACGACAAATAAGCACCCCCGAACCCAGACGCACAAGTACGTGCTGCACCACCGTCGCGACAATCTTGGACTCATGATGTACCGCCTTCAGGAACTCTGCGTCGGGTCCCAGCCATCGATTTTGAGCATCCGACGCATGGCCCAGACAATGCACTGCGCCGCGAGACGATGCTGTCGACACTCCATCTTGAACACCTCCTCGCAGAGCTGGGGCAACTTAGGATGAAGAGCCCCCTCTCGAGCGAAATTCTCTTCCCATCCATTGCCCATGTGAAAGATCTGCGGGATACTACGATCAGTATGCTCTACCAACTACTTGTGCGCAGGAGCCACGCACGACGCTTGACGCCGATCGCCCGCCACCGCCTCGATATGTCTCCAGATGGTCGTAGTCGTACCACTAGCCGAACAACGTCTTGATATGTCTCCAGGTGGTCGCGTGCGTACCACTCGCCGAATGACGTCTTGATCTGTCTCCAGATGGCAATGTGCGTACGACTCGCCGAATATCGTCGGTCAGCCCAGCCGTTTCCTTCACCAGCCAGCGCCAGGAGGTCCGTGCACGCGAACTGACGGTTCTTGATGAGCGTGAGCGCATGGGCACCGCATATTTGTCAGCTCTGCTCACTGACTGAAGCTGCCCAGGTAGAGGACCAAAGGCACCTCGGATAGGCAAACCAACGTCATTCATCACCACGAGCGCCCAGCCACATCACATGAGTTCAGGGACCGCCGACGAGAAACCTGACCTGTCGGAGAATACGATGTTGCCCCAGCAGCAGTTCTCAGAACTCCAATCACCCCCAGATCTTGTAGGAATAGCTTTCCTTCGCCGTCGGGACCTCGATGGGCAAGCATGGTAGCCCCCACACAAGTCTCGAATTCATCCCAAGTGGGCTCCCCGATGACCTTGAGCCCCTGGTCGCACACATAGTTGCGAATCACCTCAAGGCCTTCAGGGACGACGCCGTCAGGCATCTCCACATCTATCGGCTGCAACAGGGGCTCGCAACCAACGAAACGATGCCCAGGCGTGTAATTGGAGAAACCGCATTCGAGACAACACTTTGACGATGCCTCCAATCCAACCGACTATTTCATCTCCTGAGTCCAGTGCACTCTGGCTCAATGTGCTCTCCAGGACGTAGCACCTGGCCCCTTTACGAAAGACTCCTCACCACCAAGGCAAGCTCTAGGCGAACGCATCCATAACTTGGCCTGGTTACCCATGCGATGATCATGCCTCTTCATAATTCTCTCGCTTGGCCACCGAGCAATGCCAAGCCGCATCTGCTTCATGACGTCCCTCGCTGATACTGTCAGCAGCGATAAGAACTTCTCTTTGTCAGTGGTTATAGCCGTCGAGGAAACTCATCCAATGCGCCAAACACTGGGCGTAACAGCACCAATCGGACCTTTTGCATGCTTCTCAGACTGATCATGCACGAGCTGCGTCGTGCTGGAAGCCCACGCGTGATGCAGACGAGCCAAGTTAGTTTTGCCATCCCAGATCCAAACGGCATGCCTCACTACGCCGTCGCAAGTGGCCATTTAGATCGGGTCGTACTCAGCACACTGCTGCGTCAATGACGAACGAGCCATGGTGCGCCCCAACCAGCATGCCCGCCGTAGTCCTCAGCTTCGTTAGAGTCTCCTCGATCCAATCCGACACTGCAGCACCATGAGCAGCCGCTGGGAGCAGCCCTGGCTGTCAGAGGACATCGATTCTCTGACCAACCTTTCGCTTCACTGCTATGAGCCTGCATCGCCTGGCGCATAGAGCTTTCTTGCGTGACTTGGTTTGATTGCGGATAACCTTTCTGCCGCGATGTTCGTGGCCGAAATTTTTGATCCAGCCGTCCTCCTCGAGTTCACCAGCACCAGGATGACGCTTCGATTCCCGCGCTGACATCTCAGTCTGGACCAACAGCCCCAATTCGAAAGCACCAGACTCGAACTCAGCCGCCGACTGCCACATAACATGCACTTCTCGTGGCGCTGCTCCGTTCCACTGCACATCATGTCATGGACGATGGATCCCGGTGCTCCTCCAGGCCGTCGCATTTTGACCTGCAGCCTCGCCGGCAGCATCGACGTGATGCCACATGCGTGCGAGCAGCCTGCAGATGCACCGACCGCGTGGCTGGCGGAAGCGCAGGCTTGCAGTCGACGCGGCAGCGAGAAGAGCTCGCAGGGCCGGGGGGATGGAAGGGGCGGGACAGGGTAGGGGGAGTGGGTTGGAGAAGCGGTGCGCGAGGGGGAGGGTCCGAATGTTGTCGCTCGAGCTCGCCTCTTGCTCTTCGTCCTCTTCCTCCTTCGCCTCCTCGGCCTTCTTCTGGAGGTTTCAGTCGCACTCGGCTTAGGAGTGGATGTTTCTGTAGTGGCACTGTTGGGCGTGTTGTCGTCGGTTGTCATCTTCTGCTCGCTGCGACTGGTCCGCTGGGTTTTTTGGGGGGGAACAAAGATGAGGGGGAGGGGACGGTAGAAGGAATGGGAGGAAGGGGACAGGAAGGGGGCGTAATCGTTTCGCTTGCCAAGCCCCAGATCATCCAAGGTGGCCCACGAGTGCCGCAGGATGAGGTTGCAAGAGGGTTTCAAGCCGTCCGCACCTGCGGCAAGGCCGCGGCCCTCTGCCTCGGCCTTTGGCCCTCCCGCGCCCGCAGCCCGTCGCGAGGCCGCGCGGGCGTCGCCACGCCACGCTTCCCGTGCCCTCGGACCGTGGGCGCCCGCCGTCGCTCCAGAGGGGCATCGGCACTCGCCTGCGAGGGGTGTGCTGCAGCAGCGGGGGCGTGTGCCAGAGGTGCTCTCGGTCCTGCTGCTCCTCTTCTGCAGGCATCGGCGAAGCGTCCTGGCGTGCCTATAGGCCCACCAGACAATGCTCTAAGAGCCTTTTGTGGTTTCCACGCGATGTTCTCAGAACATTTATCTGGCTGGGACTGTCTTGTTTTAATACATCGGGTTTATGTTCTAAGAACGTTGCTTTGGTTCTTAGAACATCTATGGGTTCTAAGAGCATTTTGTGGTAGGACTATAGGAATGCCGGGACGGTCGGTCCCTGCTCAAAACTTCTTCCTTTTCGGGGGAGGAAGAAGCCATGAGGTTTCCCCCCGCTCTGCACGGGCTCCAGCCACGAGGGCTGCTGCACACTCTGGATTTTTGCGAGTATCCGCAGCCAATCTTACCAGGACATCATATTCTGTCTGGACATGCCACCTCTTCCCAGCCCCTTACAGGCCGCAGTGACCCCCCTGGACCCCCCCCCTCCCAGGTTCTGAGATCACTCGATTGCCACCCGCCTCCATCCCCTCCCTCCTCCCTGCTCCAGCCCTCCCTCCCTCCCTCCCTCCCTCTCTCCCTTCTCCTCGCCTGTCGCGGGGATGGTGCCCGAACCAACTCTCGGGGGGTGGCCTTGCGAGAACGTGCACGGAACCCACCACATCAGATCAGTGAACCCACCGCATCAGATGACACGCCTGGGCTGGCCGTCTTCGGAGGCCAGCGCGCGTGCGCCGACAGGCATGCATCCTGCGGCCTTCCAGCACACACTCAAGAGGCAGAAAGACCCTCCAGCCTCCTCCTTCCTCGTCCCTCCCTCCCCCCTCTCCTCCTCCTTCTCCTTCCCCGCTTCCTCTCCGCTCGTCTCGTCTCGTCTCGTTCTCCTCCTCCTCCTCCTCTCCTGTCCTCTCCTGTCCTTCTCTCCTCTCTCCTCTCGCCTCTCTCCTCTCTCTTCTCTCTTCCCCCCTCTCTTCCCTCTCCTCTCTCCTCTCTCCTCTTTCCTCTCTCCTCTCTCTCTCTCTCTTCTCTCCTCTCCTCTCTCCTCTCTTCTCTCTCCTGTCCTCTCATCTCCTCTCCTCCCCTCTCCTCTCCTCTCCTCTCCTCTCCTCTCATCTTCCTCTCCTTCTCCTGCTCCTTCGTCCTCAAAACTTCAAAATCTCCTTCCTCCTCTCCTTCCTCCTCTCCTTCCTCCTCTCCATTTCTCCTCCCCTCGCCTCGCCTCGCCTCTCCTCTCCTCTCTGCTCTCCTCTTTTCTCTCCTCTCTCCTCTCCTCTCTCCTCCTCGCTCCTCCCTCTTCCTTGCGCCCGAGCCGGGCGTCCCGTGGCGACGAGGAAACGGCTCTGGGTCGGCGCCCAAGATGCACCGCGGCTTTGGCTTCGGTGTGTTCGAGGACCGCAGGGGGGGAGGATGAGGAGGATGATGAGGAGGAGGAGGGTTGCAGGAGGAGGAGGAGGAGGAGGAGAAGGAGGAGGAGGAGGAGCATGAGGCGGAGGAGGAGGAGGAGGAGGAGGAGGAGGAGGAGGAGGAGGAAGAAAAGAAGGAGGAGAATGAGTGGGGAGGAGTGTGGTGGAGGAGGAGGAGGAGGAGGAGGGAAGAGAAGGAGGGAAGAGGAGGAGGCGCGCGGAGGCGGAGGAGGAGGCGGAGGAGGAGGCGGAGGAGGAGGAGGAGAAGGAAGAGGAGGAGGGGGAGGAATAATACTGATACACTTACTAGCAATAATAGTGATAATCATAAGACGAGCTCATACTAATGATATTAATCGTCATACTCGTAAGACGAAGAGGAGGAGGAGGAAGAGGAGGAGGAGGAGGGAGGACGAAGAGAGAGAGGAGGACGACGGGGGAGGAAATATGAGGAAGCTGATGATGATGGTGATGCTGATGATGATGCTGCTGCTGATGATGATGATGCTGATGCTGATGATGATGATGATGATGATGATGATGATGATGATGATGATGGCGATGATGATGCTGATGCTGCTGCTGCTAATGAAGTGTATTGTTATTCTTATGCTGCTGATGATGCTGCTGCTGATGTTGCTGCTGATGATGATGATGGTTCTAGTGCTGATGCTGCTAATGCTGATGATCATGATGATGATGGTGGTGGTGGTGGTGGTGATGGTGGTGATGCTGATTTTGATGATGATGCTGATGATGACGATGATGATGCGGATGCTGCTGATTAGAACGAGGGTGAGGATGAGCATGCGGAACAGGCTGACGATGCTGATAACGGTGATGGTGGTGGTGGTTGCAGGGATGATAGTGATGTCGGAGATGGTGCTTGTGATGAGGATGTTGCAGATGTCAGTGATGGTGATGGTGATGGTGCTGGTAATGGCGATGGTGGTGATGCTGGTGCTGGTGCGCATGATGGTGCTGTTGTTGATGATGAGGCCAATGCTGGTGAGAGACGCGATGATGATGATGATGATGATGATGCTGATGATGATGATGATGGTGAGGATGATGCTGCTGCTGATGATGATGCTTTTCACGATGACGATGTTGATGCTGATGCTGCTGCTGATGCGGATGATGACAAGTATGTCGATGATGCTGATGATGGGGGTGCTGATGCTGATGCCGATGCTGATGATGTTGACGAGGCTGCTGATGACGATGATGCCGATGATGATGACGACGCTGATTATGATGATGCTAATGCTGATGATGCTGCTGCATCGGATGATGTTGATGATGCTGCTGTTGCTGGTGCTGATGCTGGTATGATGATGGTGATGATGCTGGCGAGTATGGCGATGATTATGCTGCTGCTGATGATTATGATGCTGACGCTGATGCTTATGCTGTTGTTGATTCAGATGCTGATGCTGATGATGATGGTGATGATGGCGATGCTGATGCTGATGATGATGATGCTGCTGCTGCTGCTAACGATGGTGTTGTTGTTGCTGCGGCTGTTGTTGGTGTAATTGTTGTTATTCCCTACCTAGGCTCTGCCTAGAGGGTTCATACTTGGTTTGCTTAAAGGGGCCGGGCAGTGTAGGCCGCCCCGGGCGGTTCCCCCAGTCCCCACCCTGCGGTTCCCCCAGTTGCGACCCCTGGGTTCACCCAGCTTAGCTTAGCTAAGCTTAGCTTAGCTTGGCTTAGCTGATCTCATCTTAGCTTATCTTAGCTTAGCTTAGCTTAGCTTTGCCTAGCCTAGCTTAGCTTAGCTTAGCTTAGCTTGACTTAGCTTAGCTTATCTCATCTTAGCTCAGCTTAGCTTAGCTTAGCGTGGCCTGGCTTGGCTTAGCTTAGCTCAGCTTAGCCTAGCCTAGCTTAGCTTAGCATAGCTTAGCTTACCTTAGCTTAGCTTAGCGCAGCGCAGCAAAGCGCAGCGCAGCATTAGCACAGCTCAACATAGCATAGCATAGCCAAGCATAGCATAGCATAGCATAGCTCAGCATAGCATAGCATATCATACCATAGCAAGGGTTACCATAGCACAGCGCAGCATAGCATAGCATAGCATAGCATATTGTTGCTTTCCTAGAGGCTCCAACTCCTAGGTAGGGTCGCACTGGGATAATTCTTGATTATGCTGAGACGGGAGATGATGCTGATGATGGTGCTAATGCTGTTGATGATGATGCTGCTGTGGATGATGTTGATGATACTGCTGTTGCTGCTGCTGATGCGGAGATGATGGCGCTGCCGCTGATGATGGTGATTATTGAAGAGGATTGGTGATGGTGGTGATGCTGCTGCTGGGGATGATGATGCTGATGCAGATGATGATGATGATGATGATGATGATGATGATGATGATGATGATGATGATGATGTTGCTGTTGATGATGATTGTGATGCTAATGATGATGATGATGATGTTGATGATGATGATGATGATTATGATGATGATGATGACGACGACGATGATGATGATGATGATGATGATGATGATGATGATGATGATGATGATGATGATGATGATGATGATGATGTGAATCATGTTGACGATGATGATGATGATGATGATGATGCTGATACTGATGATGTTGATGCTGATAATGGGGATGCTGATGAAGATGATGGAGATGATGATGATGATGATGATTCTGATGATGGTGGTGGTGATAATGATTATGATGATGATGACGATGCTGATGCTGCTGATGATGATGCTGGTGCTGCTGCTGATGCTGATGATGCTGATGCTGCTGATGATGCTGATGATGCTGATGATGATGCTGATGACAAGGATGATGATGATGATGATGATGATGATGATGATGATGATGATGATGATGATGATGATGATGATGATGATGATGATTGATATGGTGAGATGATGAGCTGATGCTGATGTGATGATGATGATGATGATGAATGATGATGATGATGATGATGATGATGATGATGATGATGATGATGATGATGATGATGATGATGATGATGATGATGATGATGATGATGATGATGATGATGATGATGATGATGATGATGATGATGATGATGATGATGATGATGGCGGTGGTGATGATGATGATGATGATGATGCTGCTGATGATGACGGCGGCGCTGGCAACGATGACGACGACGATGACTAAGAACAATGGGAGGGGGAACGAGGAGGATGACAAGGAGGAGGAGGAGGAGGAGGAGGAGGAGGAGGAGGAGGTGAAGGAGAAGGAGGAGGCCTCCTCTCACGCGTCCTTGCTGCTCTGGGGATGTTGCCCTCTGTCCTTGGGAGGATCCGGGCTGCGTCGACCGGTGGCTCATGGGGGAGCGCTCGCGCTTCATGCGCCTGTCGCGCGGCGGCGAAGAGAAGCAGCTTGAGGTGAAGAG